ATATATATATATATATATATAAAACATTTGGATGGAACACTTTGGTTCCATCCTCTTGACACCATATTAAATAGTTTAATTCCCCAGGTTCAAGCAACAAGCTTTGTTTGACTTCCCTCCAATTGGTTTGAATTAGCCCATCATTCATTTATTTTGATATGTAGGAAATAAATAAATAAATAAATTTGTGGATGATATTGATGCTTCAAGTTGCAGTTTTATTCCACTCAGCTGCTCCCTGAGGCCTCTCTTGTCCTTTTCACGCTGATCAAAATTTCATGAGAGTATTTCAACCTTTTTTTTTTTTTCACCATGATATCCTAAAATCAATTCATTTTTAATCACATCTTGTATTCAGTTTTTTACATTAAATAAATTAAAAAAAAAACTTAAGTTAATATTTAAGATTAAAATTAAAACCCATTTATTATCAAAATCAATCAACACCGGGACCGCAAGTGTATGTTTAGTAATATAATATAAAATAATTTTAAAAAAATAATTTTAATTGAAAATATATCATAATAATATCTTTAATTTTTTACATTATTATATTGAAACCATAAAAAAATACATAATGAAACATTGATTTAATAATTTTTTAAATTAAAAACAATTTAAAAAGTAAGTTGAATCTCATTTCAAGAATAATACTAATGTATGTATATATCAAAAATCACAAAGCAAAATCCAATCTTATCTCAACTGAAATTCAGATAATCTAGACAAAAAGATTTTAGCCTCAAATCTTGGATCACTCGTTGATACTTGTAAGATTCAGTGTCTGCCATACTTGATTACAAACTCAAGTGCTCTTGATGAGAGATTCAAGCTCGTCACATACACATCCTTGTTGCTTAAGGAATAGATTGGTGGTATCGTTTTCATGACTTGGCTGGAAACATGCTCTGTAACCGCACATGAATTGCATGGAAGTTCATCGGAACATTCAGTGCAGATAGCTTGTTCGCCCTAAAAGCACTGCACTGTATGAAGATGGGATTCTGTCAGCATAGGATTCTCTCTTACAAAAACCATGAGCCTCTAGGCTTCATACGTTGGATCAAGAGTCAACAGGGTGTTTTCAGCTGCCGTTTAGGGGGCAATTCAGTGCCAAGTCCAAGGAGAGACTCGAGCCCAAAGAAAGAGCCAGCTGGTTTAGCAAGGAGATGACAGCTTAGTTTGTGGCACACCACCACTTGAGCATTCCATTTTGAAACGAAATATTATAACATCACGAGGTTTTCTAAACAAATTCCTTCATCTTCAAGGTTTTCATGGAAAGAAAATAGATGGGTCGACGCCTGACAGAGTCTCATCATCTTTCCTTTGAAAATAAATTTCACAGCTAAATAAAATTCCCATTTGCATCTTTGGAAGTCATCTCTCCTCCAAACCGAAAAAACAATCCCATTTGCATCTTTGGAAGTCATCTCTACTCCAAACCGAAAAAAACAAGGAGTTTTTTTTTTTAAAAAAAAAAAGAACAAGAAAATAGCATTGTTCAAAGAAAATTTGGTAAACTAGCGAAGCTCAAAAAATATCCGAGGAAGAAATAGCACCAGGCCATGCATTCCGCTGATATATTTTCGTTTTGTCTAAACAATGTAGAGGTTTTGTTATTGGGAATAATTAATAGGGTGTTTGGAAGTGTTGTAATGGTTATTTTTTTAAATATTTTTTGTTTGAAAATATATAAATATATTAAAATAATAATTTTTATAATAATTTTTTACACTAGCACATCAAAACAATAAAAAAATAAAAATAAAATTCAAAACTTAAAGTATCTATTTTAAAAGTACATTGCAAATGGCCCTGTATAATTTTTGAGGTTGTGTTGAACTTCATCCAAGTTAAATTATGTAGACCAATTACACCGAGTTTTGATTGAACCTAATTAAGTTAATTTTGATTCAATTATAAATCTAATTTAGATTTATTATTGAATCATTATATCTATTTTCAACATTTATTAATCTTGAATCTTGTAAGTGTTACTATGTTTTTAATAGCGCAACCATCGTAATTAATTAATTATTTATTTGTGAGGTTGCACTCCTAGAATAAATGCAACCTCAATATATGTACTCGTACATACAAGCTGTATTGTTATTATTATTTTTTTTAATTTTGAGTTCGGGTTGATGAGAATAACAAAATCTACCAAGTTGTGTTGTTTTTAACCGTGCAACCCATGGATTTGTACTATTTTTTCAAATATTTTTTGAGTTATGTTAATTTGCTAAAAAAAAACTTGTGAGTGCTATTTAAAAATAAAATAAAGAACAAAGGAAGATTACATCGTAGACGATGCTAATTAATTAAACCTCAAAATTTC